AAAGACTAAACTGACCAAGGGATTGGAGATTGCACTCAGACAACCTCCTACATAAAATAATACAATATAATTCTTGATACAAGCTATTGGTACATACTGGGTGTTCTTTTATTTTGGCAATAACTCTAGGTGATGTAAGAGTAAAGGAGAACTTCATGTCACCTGTAGACAGGGACCACTGCATGACTTGTGAAGGATCCTGCCACATGGAAGCTCTTCATTGAAGAGCAACTCTGCACAAAACAGATAACCATTTGGGTGGCAATTTGCAAGTTTAACAGATTATTAAAACCTACACCCAAAACAACATGCAAAACAAGACCAGAATAAGCTGCCACTGTATTACAAGGAGAGCCCAGTAAACCTTTCCTAACAGAATACCAAAGACTGCCATTGTCCTGATCACCATCACTGTCCTTGGTTGGTGACTGAGTATTGAAGAAAGAAGGTCAGTATGACAGTCAGACAACTACCATTCACATAATTAAAAGACACCAATAGCAGCCTCCATGTCTCCCAGTAAAGGCTTCTTTCAGCCTTACTATACTCTGAAGGACTCAACTATTCTTTTTCAGTTTCGGTAGGTAGAGGCAGTGAAAAGCCTAAACAAGCTGCTTTGTTTTGCTATAAAGTTTAGAAATATAATGTGAGTATGTGATACAGACACTATAGACATAAATAGGTCTCTGTGTAAATTCGGCTTTTTAAACACATTGATATAATATTGGATTTTGAGTATATGTTTATTACAAAAACAATGTTAAAAAATTGCCAGTAGAAAGGCAGAAAACGCATGTTACATCTCGGGATGCACAGAAGCACCATCAGATTTTTTTGCAAAATAGGAAGAGCAATTTTGATGAGCTTCTCTCCACAGCAAGGAAGTACAGACAAAGCATTCCAGTGAATTAGAGTGTACAGGTACAGGGATTGGCGACGTTAATCGTGTCTAGGAATTTATATATATAAGAATAGGTTGAGAGGCGCTACATATACTACCAAAAGGGGTTCTAACCCTTCCCCACTTTAAAAACTAGAAAAAAAAAAGCTGAGGATGGAGTTCTGCGTTAGAAAGCTTTTTTAATAAGAAGAATATTCTCTACGTGTGGCCATATCACGGGTTTTATTCCTCTCCACTTCCTTCATCTGATACTGCTAATTAAAGGGAAACTATGATGGTTTGGGGTCTGTTTTAGTTTACCTGTTTTTTTTAACGTTTATAGGTTGAAGCTGTTATATAATCTCCCTTCTTCACTACCTATAAATTAACTTTGTTTTAACAATAAAATATTAATTCCATGACAAAGAGTCCCCAAAGCACTATGGGTTATCTATACAGACAGGGCACAGAAGAGCAGCTTGCTTTGCAGCTCCCTTAATCTGACTGAAATTTTTCACTGTGCTATTTGGTAAGGGAAGAGTCACTCAGGTGATGATTTATTAGGGTTCTTTAACAAAAGGTCTAGAGTAGACTTCCACCTGCGGACTGAAGAGAAAAATAATATTCATGATATATTTCCTCTTCTATAAAAAAAATATTTTAGTATTTTATATGGACTATAATATGGCAAATGCTGGAGCAAGATTGTTTTCTGTTGGTAAGGCACATTTTTGGTTCAGGGAGTATTCAAAGTTTTTCTGATAAAAACACTGGCATATAATAAAAGGTAAAAATCTCAGGGCTAAAAGTTAATCAGAAATCTTAGAACTGAAATTGGTAACGTATGAACGTAATGCGATAGTTGAGTTCCTGCAAGTAATGAACCAGCAAAATAAACCATGGGGAAGATGGGGAAAGAACACTAAATGGCCTAGAGTTTGGTAGGAACCTCCTTCAAATGAACGAGTTCAGGTGTTTCCAGTGAAGTGCACTGCTGATGCTACAGTATACAAAGACATTTTAGACAAATGTTTCCTTCCAATGTGGCAATAGCCAGCTCCATAAAGACATGGTTTGAGGAACTAAAGTGTCCTGCAGAGAGCCCTGAGCTCAACCCTACTGAGCACCTTTGGGATAAATTGGAGCACTGATTGCGAGTCAGGTCTTCTCTTCCAACATCAGTGGACCTCAAAAATGTTCTTTTGGCTTAATGGGCACAAATTGCCACAGCAATACAAAAAAAAAATCCCGGAAGACTGAAGGCTAATATAGCTGCAAAGGGGAGGACAACTTCCTATTCATGCCCATGTTTTGGAATAAGATATCCAGCAAGCTTATACTAGTCTGATGGCCAAGTGTTAGATATCCAGCAAGCTTTGACTAGTCTGATGGCCAAGTGTAAGATATCCAGCAAGCTTATACTAGTGTGATAGCCAAGTGTAAGATATCCAGCAAGCGTATACTAGTGTGATGGCCAAGCATCCAGCAACTTGGACTCATAATTTATATTTTTGTACAAAAGGCATATGCAGTGCTTTCATTGAAGGCTATAGGATCCTAAAATCAGGACTGAATATTAACACACTGAAGCATTAAGATTTATGTTTGTAAATATTATAAGATTCATTATTAAGGTGGTTTAATAAATTGTAAAGCATGTATTCTTATGTATTTTTACTCTTTCTCCCATTGGTAGTAGCTATGTTAAATAACCTGCTCATCCTTTCCTTTCACGGGCCTATGAAAAATATATTTTATATCCAAGCCTCAAATTCAATGGGAACCCAGTCACGCTTTCCTTAAAAATAAAAGCCAACCATTTTTGTTTCTGGTATTTGATAGAGTGGGGAAGGGTTACAACCTCATTCTGGTTTTTAACTTTGAGCTCCATTAGAGAGATTTTCTCTCAGGATTTAATTGCTGTGTGTGTCCCTGTTGGGGAGAGTTTTCACTACTTCCTGTTTCAGTGACATAATGGGAAGTAAAGACATCTAAACAGGACCCACAGACAGCAAAAACCTTTTAGGGTTCCTAATAAAAATGTATTTATTGTTGCCTGTGTGATGATTTCCACTTCCTGACTCAATGAAACAAAAGTGATAGTAATGGGCATGTTTGATGGTGGATTGGGAAAGGGGGCTTGGGTGGCATGGAAAAACTCCAAGTCAGAGCTGGAGCCAAGATGTCATCACAGCTTTTAGCATGAATTAAATGTCCAGGTGCATACATGAAGAAGAGAAGATGTACTTGCTGTTACGGTTCAACTAACCCTTTACATTGGAAAACTAACCAGCTAAATACGTATACTTTAAGTATACTTTAAGTAAATGACTGGGCCCAGGGCAACTTCCCCTTTTGACCCTTGTTAAAGACGGCCCTGTCTGCCACACCACGATGTCAGGTAGATGACTAGTTATTTCCTAGTTTAGCTTTACAGGTTTCCGCATCACCTGCCTGTTTATGAATAGTGTGGATGAGTAGCATGATTGTGCTTATCCGTTGTCCACTGTGAAAGCCTGAAATAGGGTGGTATAGATGAGAACTGTGAATGAGGTGACCAGCTGAATGACAAATCTTTTGGCAGGCATGATATTTCACATATATACATTTCACCTGGGTATTAACTGCCATCCCATTTTAATAAATATCACAGCAGCAATCGAGGTCTTGTATTCATCAATTTTAAGCTGGCACCTAAAATTTACTGTCTGCCCTTTCCTTGTACAGATCCCAGGATTTAAAGAACTTGAACCTATAACTGTAACTATGAGAAAGTACCTGCTGCTGGAACCAGGAAAGGTTGGCCATAGTCGGCTTGAATGTTTGGCCTAAATTGGAGCCATGGTGGCCTTGCAAGTACCATGCAGCTCAACAAAAGTTGATTACAAAATAGACTAAGCTGGATGGAAAATTTCTCCATCCTCACTTTATGTGTGGCTAGCCTAAGTTAAAATAAACATCTGGATGCAGATATTGTAAGAAAGTGGTTATAAAGGAACTACAACCTAATTAAAAATCAGGAAAAAGGTAGTAAAAAAAAAACCTTACCAAGGCTAAATAACACCTTTTAGAATCTGTCCCTTCAATGACAGAACAGCTAATATACAATTTCAATACTCAATACCTTCCCATGCTATCGGGTTTGAGTATAAAAGGAAGAAACAATGCAAATCCTCATTTGCTCTTCAACAATTGGGAGATGATTGGTTGATATAGGCAACAAGAAATGTTTATGTCAGTGCACTTTTTATACATAAGCTCTTCTGTAACTTGTGTTTACCTTCATGCAAATTGATAGCTACAGGTTGCCATGGCAGGGCATTGGGTGCTTCGTCTGCATTATAGGAGCTGGTTTTATACACATTTTAGCCAAATACAGTAGTTTATCATCACAAAAATGGTCATAGTAATTATTCTAAATGATAATGGGCTTGTGTTGTCCAGCCAACTTGGATACAAATCATACTTGGCGAAGGTAAAATCTGATATAAAACAAAAATATACAATGCATTTAAAGACCATGTTTTGGCACTGCACTCAATGCACCATGTCTTTGGAATTAAAACAGAAGTAGCTCGCGTCGGCGTTTTCCAGTAGACGGCTTTAATTATAGTGAAGGTAAAATCTGAAAGTAGGTCTAAATCATTTAAAAAGTAAACATGTCATTTTTTTAATACTATACCTTCCCATGTGATTGGTTCCATTCATTGTCATTAGAAAATAGGTAAAATAATGAATTAAGGGCTGGCAGCACATAAATAAAGTCCTCCTGAAATGTAATTTAAGCATACAATGAACAGTGTGCAATTGCTGTCTCGATCTTTGAAAGTACCATCCACAGTCTATCGCGCCAGAGGTCCGAACTGAGGAAAGTGCTTCTGCAGACCCAGCCTCAGGAGATGTCGATCAAACACCCGAAAAGGTTCCAGATTGGCACAGTTTACGCTTCCGATTTCAAAAATGGTACCATTTCACCAGCAACTTTTTGCCTCCATAAGTAAATTTTGTAGCAATCATGAGAAATTATCCGACTTTGCTACGTAAACTGACACAACATCAACAGCCCAGTGAGTGTCACCATAGTCCTTTGTCATTTTCTTGGTTGTTGATTTTTTTTAATATAGTGTGTTTATAATTTTGTTAAGCATCTCTCGGTCATCACTGGTAATGTCCATTTCATTCAAATTTGCGAAAAGGAAGATGCGTTTTAATGGAGAGGAAAAGTATATTCCTTAATCGACGCCTTCGAATCCCTGAGCGTTCTCTACCGCCATGAGAAGTTTCTCCCGCAACTCTTCAAAGGAGTCGTAAGGAGGTAAATCTAGACGGTTAAAGCTGAAATAAAAGGAAAATGGTTCAATGTTTTCTTTGATATCATATTAACAGACTCTGGACTACAGTACAAAATAACATGCATATGGCAAATACATAACATCTTGAAGACAAGTTAACTAAGAATTCTTAAGGAAGATAATAGATTTCCATTCAAAATAAGTGTATGGCCAAAAGCATGTGGACACCCCTCCAAACTGAGTCCTGGTATTTCCAGTCAGGGCTACAACATACATAGACATTTTAGACAATTGTGCGCTTCCAATGTTGTGACAGCAGTTTGGGGATGTCCCTTTTCGGTTTCTGCTTCGGCATGACTGTGCCTCTATGGTTTGGATAAATTAGAATGGCCTGCACGTTGCTCAACCCTACTGAACACCTTTGGGATGAATTAGGAACACCAACTGTGAGCCAGGTCTTCTCATCCAACATCAACTGAACTCCTCTTTTGGCAAAATGGGGTCAGTACACAGACAGACTCCAACATCTTGTAGAAAGCCTTTCCAAAAGAGTAGCCTCAAATTGGGGCCAACTCCATATTAATGGCCATGGTTTCGGAATGGAATGTCCATCAAGCAGATACAGGTGTGATGGTCAGGGGGCCACAAACGTTTGGCCATATAGTGTAATCTAGTAATATACAATCAGATTTTTGGGTTGATTTACTAAAGCTAAATAAGTTATTCACTTTGCAAGGGAATTTTCCCTTAGCTTAGTGAATGTGGTGAAAATTCACTTTGCAAAAAAAACACCCAATCATGTGCAAAGTAAATACAAAACAAAACAAAACAGTATTTCTGGTTGCACATGACTGGATAATCGAAGTCAGCAGAGCTTCACTTCATTCACTAAACGAAGAGAAAATTCCCTTGCAAAGTAAAAAGCCTAATGTGCCTGTAGTAAGTCAACCCAATTGTTTCAGACTTCGTCAGTGAGCATATATTTTGACTATTTTTTGTTCCTGTATTTAATGTAATGGTTCATTCATTAGCCATTAGGGGCGGCTTTTACTGATTAAAGTGACACTATACTCAAGAGTTAAGTCTTACAAAATGCATTCAACACCTTAACTATTACCAAAAATGTATCTTATTTGTGTATCACTCGGCTGTAGATTCTCCAATCATCTCTGAATTGGTGCTGACGCTGTCCTTCCTTCAGGAGGGGGGCTACTTGTGTTCCCCATGGTCCCTGTGTGTGTTGTAAAGTAGTCACCGCTCCAAGCTCGCTCCTGTGATGGACTACAACCTCACTTTTAGTTTACTAATTTGTACTGAGATGTTAGTTCATCACAGGAGAGAGCTTGGAGCGGTGACTACTTTACAACACACACAGGGACCATGGGGAACAAAAGTAGCCACCCTCCTGAAGGAAGTGTCAGCATCAATTCAGAGATGATTTGAGGATCTAGAGCTGATCTAGAGAGAGTGATGCACAGATAAGATACATTTTTGTTAATAGTTCAGGTACTTGAATGCATTTTGTAAGATTTAACTCTTGAGTTTAGTGTCACTTTAAGCTGGTAAAGATGCAGGCTTTCATATTTCAAATCTACTGCCATCTTTGTTCTTTTAGGGAGGTTACCCATCACTTTCCACCCCAGAGATACTGTAGGAAATGAGGGGAAATCTCTACAAAGTGACGGGGAGTCCCCTCTTAGGTTGTCACTGGAACTGGTGTTCCCATTGGAAGATTTTTCCCTCTTTTACTAGTGACAACTTTAAAATTCTGGATTTCCCATCACTTTTCTGTCTTAGCGACATTAGTCACCAGGACAAATAGAGGACGTGAATCTCTTTACTAGAGACAAACAAGATAAAGACAACAATAAATACTTGAAAGGGGTTCTAATCCTTCATATCACGATCGAGAACTGTCCATTATACAGACACTTTATGGTTGGGAACTACACATGTCACTGGTACTGTAGTACGGTAAATATAAGTAATAACATCTCCTTCTAAACAGCAACACCTGCAGGCTAATAAAGGTATTACACCGAGGACAAATATTAACTAGGAGGTGAGGGTGATGCTATTTCCAAACTATCACAGCGATAAATAAAAAAAATAAGTGTATCCAAAGCCAAAATGTTTTTTAACAGAATGGAAAAAGGTTAAAACATCGTGTTTTGTTTTTTTTTGCCCATCTGTTTTCCATTGGGGAGAATTCCCTGGGGAGAGTTACTTGCTGTGCCATGAACAAAAGATTGGAGAAATTCCCTCGATGAGATCAAACAATTGTACCTTCAATGTGACAAAAATGATCACATTTACAAACCAAAGGCCCTCCATTCGATAGATTTAGTGAGCTCTCATTCATGTTAGACTCTGCCAAAGTGACCGGCTGCCATCAGCAATTACCACCCCCCCACTATATCTAAAATGGGAAAAAAAGTTTGGCTTTAGATGTACTTTAAATAACTCTTTTTGTGCTTGCTTTGTGTTTTAGAGGCTTAGGCTTTTCAACCAGAAGAACACAAGGACTTATTTACAAGGCATCGAAAAGGGGGCACTTTGCAGGCAAGTCTAAACTTGTATGCTGAGCTGAACAGCTTAGTTCACAAATTGAAGGTCAGGGTACTGGGGCCCAAAACCAAAGGAAGAGCCAGTGTTCACAAAATGTACTCGGTTGGGTTGAAGCGGTTGTATGACTTACCATGTGTGAGCTCTGGGTAATTTGTCCGGGCTTCCCCACTGCTCTATTGTAAACAGCTGAGGACCATTAGAACCTAGACGAAAATGAGAAAACAAAATAAGGGTACAGAAAATGTAACTGAAAGTAATATTAAACCCTTTTTATAGCAGTACTGACATCCACTAGGTCTGTGCATTAAGCTTTTTTTTTTCTTTCCCCCAAACTTGCTTGCCACTCCTCACTAAGAGCTGCCACCCCTAACTTCCAGTCCGGGAGCACACACAGTAGACGTCATGGAACAGTCACATGATGGTGGGCTTCAGGACTGCATGTCCCATCATGCCAAAAGTCATCATAAGCAAGCATGCCTTCCCGTTCTTTTAGAGCTGCCACTCAATTTCCTTGGTGGAGGAGCAGGGGAGTGTCACAACACCGGGGTATGGTCCTAGGCAGGAGCTTGCACGTTAGTGTAGTTCCAGTGGGGCGCCATTGTACCCTGCAAAGCAACGCAGTCAAAAATCGGAGGCAGCAATCTTTGAACAGGTTGCACTGGGAAGAAAGGCATCCATTTAAAGAAGCAGCAGACAAGGTAAGTGTTGACGTCAGCAGCTGTGTTTTGTTTTAACATTTTAGGATTTTAGAATAAGTTCTTTTTATTTATTTTTTTATTCTTACATTTAAACCTTTTTATCCCATAGTTCTCTTCAGGGTCAAAGGAGGACATATACTAACCTCCTCCCGTGACCTCAGTATATAGATCCCAAAAGTACTGCCGAGATCCACCCAGCTGGCTGATTGACAGTGGGCTCTGCCTATCTGGAGGCAGAGCCAGCTGTGCCCACCCCTCCCCCGTCCGCTCCTCCTATCAGCGCTGGAGGATCGGAGAGGGGAGGGGGAATCTTTGCAAGGAGTTGATTGGGAAGTGAATGAGCAACAGTACGTGTACACTCACTTCCCGATCAATAGAGCCGACGTGTGACATTGAAACTGTTGGCTCTAACTATGAGGATGAGTGTAAATCATTCACCTCATAGTTCTCCTTTACGTTGAGTTCCCATGGACACAGAGAAAAGAGATTTGAATTTTTTCTGAAATGCCTATAGTGTTAATCCATGTTTCAGATGCGTTTCGGAGAAAGCATTAGCTAAAGCTCTTAAAACACCTTTTTTAAAAGGAAAACAAATTACTGGCAGGATGTTCCTCCAGAGCCTCATCCCACCAATCCATAAACATGTGGCAACCGCTTAGGGAGAGTTTAGAATGCATTTGTGGTGCGCTTATATTGACTTGAATTAAGGCATTTGCCAAAGATTGCAGACAAGATGAAAACCAAAGAGGCTGTAAATTTTAAATGTGTACTAGACCATTTGCTATCGATGAGGAACTGGCTTTGCATAGCATTTGGAGTGCTTTATTGGAAAGCATGCACCTATTCTTTTTGTCCATGTGAACGAAGACTAAGTCCATATGAAGTATTTTTTAAAAAAATGTAATTTAACAAAAAATTGTCCAAAAACTACTTGTATGCAGTACTTTAAAAAAAAGTAAACAGGTTTGTTTAAACCACTCATTTGAAAGCAGCATATATTACTAGGGATGCACCGATATATCAGCGCCGAAACATATCGGCCGAAAATGGCACTTTTGGCATAATGCCGAAAGTGCCATTTTCCTGCCGATACATCGGCACATCCCTGGTTTCTTTCCTCCCCGCTGGGCACTGCTCTGTGTTCCAGCGGGAGAAAAGAAAGTGACAGCCGGCCGAGCGCTGCAGGACGAGAACGCTGTGAGCGTCCGCGTCTCTCCTCCCACACCGCTCAGCCGCCTATCACAGCCCGGCAGAGGGGGGTGGAGACAGCGCTGTCACAGGAGGCTGGGCTTTCCTCTCTACACCGCTCGATCAGCCTCCTCTGACGTGTCAGAGAGAAAAGCAATGTACACACACTCAGTGATCAGTGATCGCTGAGTGTGTGTACATAATTGAGGACATGGTATGCTAAGTATATCCTCAATTATGAATGAATGGGAGTGATCTACATCACCCCCATTCATTCATTCATAATTGTAGTTATAGTAAACAAACAATGTTCTCATGTTATCAATGAACAGGAACACTCATAGAGGATTCCTGTTCATTGATAACAGGGGACACAGAAAAAGAGATGGAGGACTCTGTGTTCTCAATCTCTTTTGCTATTTTAAAAAGGAAATATCAGGAGTCTGTTTAGACCTCTAATGTTTCCCTGAAGCCACTAAAAGTAAAGTAAAAAATCAAAATATTTAATAAAAAACGAATACAAATAAATATAAAAAAATTAAAAAGTTTATAAAAAAATAAAATATTTAAAAAAATTAAAAAAATAAAAAACATTTTCAGTACTGGTTTCGGTCTGACATTTTTTTATTTCGGTTTCATTTCTGTTTTAAAATTTATGTTTCGGTGCACCTCTATATACTACCCATTCTTCACTCCCCGACTGCCCTGCTCAGCACTGGAAGCGGAAGGAAATACCAGATACTTTGTGGTAAGAAGCATGTGATTCACCCACTGCACAGCACTGGGCCGATCAGCACTGTCACCGGAAAGTCCATAGCAGTGTGCAAGTCCAGCAACTTGTATCTTACATAAGTTTCACACCCGGCAGCTGAATGGAGCGATGGAGAAGCGAAAGGAAGATTAACATAAAGCCTAGTGTTCTCGTAAGAGTTTTTATAACACCTCAATATTCTTCCATAATAATAGCTTGTTTGCATAATTATCTTTTTCCTTATCTTTCTTAATGGAATATTCATCTTTAGACATCGTCCCCACACAGCATAAATATCACTTCTGTCTACCTGTGAGATCTCCACACAGTTCCTTTAATTAAGCTCTCTATCAGATTTTATTCTCAAGGCTTCCTTAGCCCTGACCTGCATTACTCATCTGGCATCTCTCTATACAATCCACGGGAACATTCCATTCCCACCACCCACCCTCTTCTAGGAAGAATGCACATCTTCAGAAGCTGAGAACATTTTATTATAGTTAATGTACAGGAGATGTATTGTTCTTGGAGATTGTTTTCTCACTTCTTGTCAAGTCACTATGACAGGAAGTGGGGAGAAATTGCTCCAAGGAGCATAAACAGATAAAGTTGCCATAGGGCCCTCCCCCCTAACAAAATACTTTTAACTAGGATTCCACGTTTCATGGCCTGAATAAGTGCTGATGCAAAATTCACGATAGGCATTAAGCATTCCATAGATTCCCCATCATTTATGCAGCATTGGACTGCCTCACACTGCAAACAGGGTGCAGAGCCATTGTGTTCATGGAGCTACTGGTTGAACCATTGTTTCCTAGAAGCTAGCTATTGAGTCATTGTGTCCTGGGAGTTTCTTACTGACCCATTGTGTCCTGAAAGTCACCTATTGAGCCATTGTGTCCTGGCAGGTACCTATTGAGTCATTGTGTCCTGGCAGGTACCCATTGAGTCATTGTGTCCTGGCAGGTATCTCTTGAGCCACTGTGTCCTGGCAGTTACATACTGAGTCATCATTGTCATGACAGTTGGCTATTTTATGTCCAGCCCTCCACCGTTGACAGTACACATTGTTTATTATCTTAGCCACTAGTAAGTCTTATTTATAAATTAATCTCATTACAATATATTTACATTTGTGATTAGTTTATAATTACATTTTATTTCATCGTACTTATTTCACATGCACTATTTAAGGCATTGCCTTTTTTTATGTTGGAACTGGGTCTTCCCCAAGAAGAGATTCCTTTGGGGATTTTTCAGTGGTTTCATTTTTATATGGCATCATACATGTCCATTGTAACCTTTTCTAACATCATGATTGTTTCCTTTCTTTGGTTGTGCTTAGACTGCATTTATGAATAATAATTCACTTTATGTTATTGACTAATATTTGACCAGTTTTTTGTTGAGATATTATTTATGGGCTGGATTTTCTTTTCTTTTTTTGACCCAATATTTGTATTTGCTTTCACAATAATGTATGGTTTTGTGCAGTGCGACAGTAGAGTTCTTAAGTAGGGTGGTGCAGGCCTATCTGGTAGATGTTTGGGGTCCCACTTTAATCCACACAGTCCTAAAATGACTGGCAAATTGTCTGAGAAAAAGTATACCACATGAATGAATCTTTTTTCCAATGTGTTTACACAGGGGCTTAGTGGTTAGCACGTCTACATTGGCCCTAGTATATGTATGGATGGATGTGAGGTAGGGACCTTAGACTGCAAGCTCTTTGAGGGCATGGACTGATGTAATTGTACAGCACTGCCTAAACTGTCAGCACTACATGCATGCCTACAATAAATAAATAAAAATAAAATGAGGATTCAATGGGATTCCCAAGTTAAAAATAGAAGTTGTTTTTTCACTTTGAACTAACACATACTGGACATTTTGAGATTTTGTTTTCTTACCGTACAGTTCAGCAAATCCATTCATAGGCACACGGGAAGTCCCGGTGACAAACTGAAGCAATCGGATTCGTTTCTCGGCATCCATCAGCAGCACAGCCTAGTACAGGTACAGCTCAGAATTAGACAGGAATGACACCTAGTAGTTTTGTTGTTGCAGTATAACATAAAAGAATGTGCAATGTAACCTGACAATACTGATAACGTATTTAGAAAAACACTCATAACCCCTAGATACCCATTAGGTTGCTAAACAAATTAATTCTGGAACTATGCCAAAAAAAACAAAAGAAGTCATTGGCAACAACTACAGAACGCTCATCCTTCATCACAAACCACATGTTTATTTCAACTCTTACTCCAGTACCCTAACTCCGCACCCTCTCCTACTTCCCATACCCCACCTTTTTTTGCTCCCCTTCAGCTCCTTTCCCCAGCCTCCAGGGTCTCTTTCCTCCACCTCTACCTTTCTCTACAGATCCACTAATCACAGGCCATATTTACTGGTGACTGCACCAGACTATACCACACTCTGGATGTCCTATGATATTCTCCTCCTATATATGGAGGGCTTCCACTACAGGCCATATTTACTGGTGACTGCACCAGACTATACCACACTCTGGATGTCCTATGATATTCTCCTCCTATATATGGAGGGCTTCCACTACAGGCCATATTTACTGGTGACTGCACCAGACTATACCACACTCTGGATGTCCTATGATATTCTCCTCCTACATATGGGGAGGCTTCCACTCTTCTTTTCCCCTTTAGGGTTGTGCTCACATGTTCTTCCTATTATCTTAACCACTGAAAGCATTGTGTTCCACTAACTGGCCTCTCTCGCTAATTTTGGACCTTGCTTATATATGTATTGATCCTGCTAGACAGTACAGGAGGGATGGGAGAAAGCTGGACTTTTACATAATTTCAGCTTCTGCAGAAAGGGCAATATGCTGTGAATGTACAGGGCTGTAGTGTAAAACTAGGCAAGGCAAATCACTGATAAGGCTATCAATGATGCCAGCATCTACTGTATGCATCTACAGAAACAGCAAAGGTGACATGGCTGCACCGATTATAATGCAGAAAGAAGGGCGTTGTCCCCATCATAGGAATTGCCTATCCATTGGCCTTACATACAGGATCAACAGGTATTTATAAAGTTTTCCCAATTTTACTTGGTTGGGCAGACTTAATTGTATATGTAACTTTATGGATTGACCATAGTTCTACTTTAGGCTTCCTTTGGCTACTGAATAAAAATGCACATCTGCCCTTTTGTCCCCCATAAATGTGAGTCTTTGTTCTTTAGTAATGTCCACCCACTTCTTCAGTTGTCTAATTCTATTATAAATAGGCCTAAAGCTAATCTATGCAGCATGCGTTTATTTCTCTCACACAGCACATACAATTAGGCATCTCCACCATTGCTTTGAATGTGCGGCATCTCATAGGTTATAAGTGCTAATATTTATGTAAATGAGAGGGAGGAAAATGTTAAACTAAAAGATGGAAAGCTTCTGCAACTCAACTTTATAAAATAACTGTATATATCCTAAGAAATGTTGGTGATGTTGTTTTGCAGTCTTACAAACAGTAGTAATGTGGATTTTCCTGAGATGCCACTAAAATTGAGCAGCAGCAGCAGCAGGATTTCCTTCTCAGTGTTCTTAGTATCCAGTACCCTCCAATGTCCCTCTGTCTAACGGATCTAAGCACATTTGCATATACTGGAACAGCTGGAAAATGTCAGTTGTAAGTTGGCTATTGCCCAATCTCCACGGCAAACCTTTCTATTTGTCAGACAGGATTAGATGGGCACAACTGGGAGATGGAAGCCACTATTTTTGTATTTGAATAGTTGGTTCCGTTTGATAAAATCAGGATAGCGATTGGTGTTCTTACCTTCCAGTACCACTGGATTGCCGGGTGGTTTGGACAATATCCATTTTTATACAGTGTGTGTTGTCTCCAGTCATTCACATCCACATCTCCCAGACCACACATTAGAAGCTGGAAAATGAATATAGATAATTGTTGACAGTTACACAATATTGCACTTGTTTTATTAAACAAGGAAGTTCCCATAAATGTGACACAAACATTCTAAACCTTCTCTGTATGATTAAGTATAACTTAAATGGAACTGAAATGCATAGAATATGACAAAATATTTATTGCCAAATGTATTATAGCAAAAAAAGCTTAATCCTGCAGTCTGGAGCAGGAGATAGTTGAAAGTGCCTGCTGCACACCATAGTGTTGTGACCGGTGTAGATAAGATAGGTGCTCCTAGTGACCGCCACGGATGGTGCTGTGCAGAACCAAAATGCAAAGAAAATATTGTTTGTTCCAAATGGCCAATGTTTCAGGGCCATGCAGGTCCCCCTACACCCTCAAAGTGACACAGTGACTGTGTCGCCTTGAGGAAGGGACCCTGCGTGGTCCCGAAACGTTGGCTTTTTTGACCTATGTGATGTTATTTGCAATAAACAATATTTTATTTGCATTTTAGAATGCTGGTGACCTATCTTCACATATCTGGAGCTGCAAATATTTTCCTGTTAGCTCTACTTTTAGCTGGCTTGAAAAATTGTAAGACTGATGAGACAAAGTAAAGTAGACAGAGAGAGAGATGTATTTATTGTAAAACAAGCTTAGTAAGGTGTAAGAAGGATCTGTAACAAAGGGGATACCAAGAAAAATTGAAATCTTGTTTCTTGGAGCTCCAATCTCCACCTCCTATAACCCTCTAAGAAAGAACAGTGTAGTAAGGTTCAACTACCAAAACAATATCGTTCCTATAAAGCAGGGGTAGCCAAACTCCGGCCCTCCAGCTGTGGTGAAACTACACATTCTATCATACCTCTGGGAGCCACATGTGTGGCTGTCAATCATGCAATGCTTCATGGAACATGTAGTTCCCAAACAGTTGGCGTGCCAAGGTTGCCTACCCTTGCTATAAGGAATTACCTATATTTTCTGGTTGCATTGTTGATTGTTTCCCAGAAGGTGGCGCTACAGAATAACCCTGTACAAGTAGCCTTGTTAAATGACTACACAGCATCTGCACAAAGACCATGTTCACTCCTAATATCCCTATATGTATTAGGTTCCCGAAAAGACAATCCTGCATTCAAAACAAAAATGTGAGTTTTTGAATTGTGAACACAGTAAAACAATGTATATACATACCTCAAGTTCATTTTCATCAAAAATCTTTATCAAATCAATAGGAATGAGTTCAGTAAATCCCTGCAAATGGAAAAATAACAAACCATTATTGTAAGACGGCAAAAAGGCCAAGGACGTTACTTCTTGTGCAAACCAATCAGATGGGTCTTGAGCTTTGCAGAGCAAAGTTGATTTGATACATGTATTTGATTGAATGGTATATGTTACATTAGTGGGACCAGATTACCTTTATAAAACAAGATGTAAAGTGATAAAGTGATCCTGTTATGAATGAAATATGGGACTGCCATTCCTAGTCTCCTTTTGAGCTCTCTAGTTGCTCCGCTATTATGCTAAGTGTCAATACTTGCAGAATTGCTAATCAAAAAAAAGTATACTCATCAGCAAAAGAAAAAATGGGTTACTGGAACAGGCAACTGGCATTTTCTACAGAAAAGGCATCACCAATAGCTGCCTCCATATATTTCTATAAAACTAGGTTTCCTTTACTCGTCAGATTTCTTGGTCAACACAAAGGTAAAAAGAGCCGCACACCGGAGTCCGATGATCAATGTTTAATCCATAAAGCTAGACATATCCCTAACACCGAAACTCCCCAACTAGAAGACCTGCTACAATGCGTTTCACCTGTTCAGGGCTTGATCGTAGAGACACCAGCTGACACAAGTTAAAGTGGGTGGCTTCTAGGTGGGGAGTCATGCTGCATTGTGCCCTGCTGGCTCAAACTATTGGGAAGAGTACATTATACTCTCCCAATACTCCCATGCCCTTTACCTTAGATGGGGTAATCAAAACATTTCCTGCATGAGTGAACGAGAAAAATCCTAATGTGCATGGCCAGCTTTAGAGTGCATCAGGAACTTCTTATATGTATACTTTTTGCATGTAGAGGACCCACAAAGTACTAAAGCCGTAGGGTTAGAAAAAATAAATAAAATTTAAATAGGCAAACTAGCCATATTTAAAGGAGAATTATGAGGCGAGTGATTTTCACTCAGCCTCATAATCTGAGCCGACCTGTGACAATGAAACACAGGTCGGCTCAGTAGATCGGGAAGTGAGCGAACAAATACCATCGCTCGCTCACTTCTCGATCTATCCCTGCAGAGAGCCGTGACTGTCACTTCCCGGCTCCCTGCAGGGATTCCCCACCCCCTCCCCTGTCCGATCCTCCAGCGCTGACTGGCGGAACGGACGGGGGAGGGGGCGGGCACAGCTGGCTCTGCCTCTGGATAGGCAGAGCCAGCTGTCAATCCCGCAGCTCGGTGGATCCAGACAGTATTGTCGGGATCCGTCCCGGCTGCGGCGTCTCAGTATAGCTGTAGCTTGCGGTATAATGAGCTTTGGGTCACGGGAGAACGTCAGTTTGTTTTCTCCCGTGACCCTTAGGAGAACTATGGTTCGCCTTTAAGGTCAAGTTGACCCAAACATGATGCTAAACATGGTCTGGGCATCTAGTCTTTAATGACCTCAAGGAAAAAAATGGAAAAAGGATCACATAGCATTGGTGCAAAGGCTTGCCATGCACAAATGGAGCTTGGATAAACAGAGAATCGGTGGATAAACTGCAACTTCCAGTGATATACTATAAACACAACCACGCAGAGACCAAATCTCCATAAAATCAGGACACACAAACCAGTAAAAAATAAAAATAAAGAGAACATACCTCTAAAAATCCATTCATCTGTTTCTGTACCCTGTTAACAAATCTCCACTGAATGACGAGGCTGGAAAGAAAATGAAAAAACCAATTACAGATGCGCCCAACTGAACATTTTACAAAATCTCATTATGTCTAAAGTAGCTGTGGCGTCTCCAGCAGGGACATGCACTGACCTTCTCTCCCTTGGGGTGCAAGGATAACATATTCACCAGCCCCACATGCATTATCTATACAACAAGTTATTGGGTTTTCAATTAGAATGACCCGGAGATCACTCGTATACATTCAGTAGAAATAATTCATTTTTATATACTGCCTGATACATCAGCTGGCAGATTGATAGTTTAGAAGAGTTACACAAATGAGGAGCTTTTGTGTGGAACAGAAAATAAGAAGCAATGTGCGAAGATGACAAGTGAAAAAAAGCTTTCATTCCATATCATGTCAAGCTGACTTCTAACCGCTGACTTCAAAGAGGTGGAGGCCTCTTTTCACTGGGCAATGATATTGTAATAATAGACAGACATAAAGAGCTGGATACAGATCCAGAATGCAGACACTGAACAGGTGTACATCTTGTTCTGTGCGTACCCAGCAATACCCCGGGAATCAGCTACATGTCATTACAAATTTTGAAGAAAAAAAGCCACACACTGCTATTCACCAGTACAAAGCTTTAATCCATAAATCTACAACTACCAGCATGACGGTACTCTCCACTCAGTGGCCGCCCATCACTAACGCGTTTTACCCATATTTGCTTGTTCATAGTGCCATAGTTCTTGTCAGTATGATTTTTAATATGCAACAATGTTTAAAAAATCTTGCTTCTTATGTGTAGTCTGTAATTACATATGTATATAAGGCAGCTATATTTGATTGTATAAGCTCCCCCTTCTGGCCTTAGCTTGCTGATCTTCCTTATCCACAACAAATCTATTAAGAGGCATCTGAGTGAAACAATAGTTCTTCTTAAGTCTCTGATGACATAAAACAACCAAAATGCACTGGGTAAGCCAGAGACCCTGTGGTCTAGGCTGCATGGTTGTATGAGCGAGCAAAGTAGAAGCAGCTTTTATCATTCTGCACTCAGAATGATAATGATGTTCGGTAATGCCGTCATTCATCACACATGATTTTTATGAAGTGTGAATTTTTAATGATAGCTTCACTTGAATTAGATATTTAGTTGAAGGAAAAAGGACAATCTGGTTTGAAAGAGGGTGTAAAGCACAGTCTCTGCCATACACCAGGTAGTTTGGTGTTCAAATCATGCGTAAAATTAAATAACAGGTCCATCTATAAATGAACCTGATCTAATCAATATTGCTTCTATGGTAAAAACTGTGCTAAAGGGATGAACCATGTGGTGTCTCCAAGGACCTGTTTTAAGTTTAAATCCATCCTTGTGTGGCTTATGATATAAGGGGAGCCCTGACTTTTGCCCAATGATAAATTTCGCCTCCACCTGGCTCCAAAACCAACCCCTGTCATTCACAGGTCAAATGCCTGAAATTTACCAAGCAGCTGAAATCCCTGGCAATTCTTGAAGGTAGCCAGTCTTGGGCAGAATTTGTGGCCCTGTTTAGGGGTATTTCTAGGATCAAAGGAGGCTTCATAAGAACACAGGGATTAATACAGGTGCTTGTAGACATCACAAGGTATCTAGTCTACAGTATCTGTACTTCAGGACCTAACTGTTAACTTAGAAAAGAGTTGTCCAGATCATGTCAAGTTCTCTATAGAGATAGGACAGAAGCAATGTGCACTCCTACACGTACAGCTCCTTTGTCGGATCATATTTTGTTTTCAATTCCTGGCTCTGCCATATGAAACCATATAAAACTTTAAAACAGACTGGAGCTCTTAATTTGCAAATCACTTTTAATCTATACGAAGAGTTAAGATTAAACACTCAAAGCAGTCATAAAATTGAATTTTACTAACATCCTACAAAATGCTAATTCCTTCCTGAACATTAAAATGCATTTCGGTCTGGATGTCACAACACTTCTTAAAGCTCAATCTTTCAAAAGCGGAGACAAGGTTCTAGGTGTCATCCTTGACTCTGACCTCCCCTTTATTCCCCACATCCAATCCCTATACAGATTCTGTCACCTTCGTAACATCTCCAAAATACACCCCTTCCTCACCAATGAAACCACAAAGCTACTCATCCACTCACTTGTTATCTCTCATCTTGACTATTGTAACTCCCTCCTCATTGGCCAACCTCTACACAGGCTCCTCTCCCCTTCAGTCTATCATGAATGCTGCTGCTAGACTTATCCACCTAACCAACTGCTCAGTGTCTGCAACCCCCCTCTGCCAATCCCTCCACTGGCTCCCATCCCCTACCCCCCTCTGCCAATCGCTCCACTGACTTCCAATTGCCCAAAGGATACAATTCAAAATATTAACAAACACTTACAAAGCCATCCACAACTCTGCCGCAGGTTACATCTCCAACCTTGTCTCAGAGTATCACCCTAACCATCCCCTATACACCTCCAAGACCTCCTGCTTTCCAGCTCCCTCGTCAACTCCTCTCATGCTCGCCTCTAGGACTTCTCTAAAGTCTCTCCCATTCTTTGAAACTCCCGACCCCAACCTGTCCGTCTTTCTCCCACTCTGCCTACCTTTCGGCGATCGGTAAAGACTCGCAGATTATCTACTACTATCCTTGCATTCTGACTCTTATGCAGGCTTCTCTTCTTGTAGTAAATTGGTTTTAAAGTTAGCCACAGTCATTTTCATTTTCTGTAAGAGGATGACTATGCTGCCTTTGTATGAGCAGCAAACAGAAGCAGCATTGTTACTCTTAGCTGCATACGTCCACCATCTACCTCATACAGACACGGCAATGCACAATGCACATAGTGCAAGTCTGGCCTCAGCTCCTGTTTCAGCACCCTGCTGTGATTGGCAGGGTCTTGTAACTTGTAGTCTTGATGCACGTTTCTTCAATGACATGCACCGGCGGTTCTAAGGGCTGACCATTCACATGACTTTGATCACTAAAAAGTAATAAAAGTCATTGAATTTATGAAGGGTTTTGCTTAAGGGTTTAATTTTACTTAAAAATTTAAGATTTTGGTGTAGACTCCTCTGCCAGTCTGAATACAACTTATCAATGACAGTAGGGAAGTAACGGTGTACTCATGCTCACACCAATGGGAAGTTGACATTGTTAAAATAAAAAGGAACACGTACTCAATATATTCCCTCTTGTTTTCATTTGTTACGACCATTTCTGATCCATTTGGCTTCAAGTCAACCTGGTAAGTCTGAAATATAAACGAAAGGAAATCCATTTGTGTGCTTAGTATACAAAGTACTCTTGAGATGGAAGGCAGAAACAACAGCATAGGACATTCATCAGACTTTTTCACATGTACCGAGTGAGAGAGATTACATTTTGCTTTCTTTTAGACTATATGAAACACAAAAAAACCTGCCAAAGAGTGTGCAATCTTCTCCACTGTGCCAAGAACGTGCTAATAATTTCAGAAAGCCTCAAAGACAACCTAAAGCTAAGATCTGTAGCAAACTGGTGACATTGGAGACATTCAGCTCATCTTAGGATCTGAATCTCCCCTGCAGCCTGGGGCCCTCCTGAAGTGGCCATGCAAACACTGATTTTCTTAATATTGCTATTTCCATAGACCTAAGCATGATGTTGCCTCCTATACAGTAATGCCCACGGATGCTGATAGGCAACACTGAACATTGCATTGTGGAATGAGGGTCAGGGTGTGAAGATTCTTCACCAAGGAATGCCTTGCAGATCTTAATTTGCCACTTTAATATTTCCCACAAATTGAATTTAAAGAACGGTTCCAGACAAAAAAATGATAAAGATATGATTTAATGGAGTACCTGACATTTACACTATATGAATAAAGGTTTGTGGACACCTGACCACTCCTCCAAATTACTGATTTCAGCTGTTTCCAGTGAAGGGTACTGTTAAAATTACAGAATATGAAGACAATTTACATACAGGCAGTCCCCAGGTTATGAACATAGATAGGGACTGTAGGTTTGTTCTTAAGTTGAATTTGTATGTAAGTTGGAACAGGTAAATTTTTTAAGTGCAACTCCACTCCACTTTTTTTGTTTTGGATAGCATAGGGAAGGGTTAACCCCCTGTAACATTTGTTTTGCTGTGTGTGTCCCTGTTCAGAAGATTTCACCTCACTTTCTGTCCCTGTGAACATTGGATTTTGATCATTTTGGGTTGTTGTGGAAACAAGGATTGGTGGTAAAGCTGTGGATCAATGGAGACACCTTTTTCCCATGATCACTTTTACAGGAGTGAATTTCCCTTCCCTCGGGTGTGTTTTCTTTCAGTTCCTGTTGTCTCAAGGACAGGAAGTGAGATTACATCTTTCTAATGAGGATACAGACAGCAGTAAAAACCTCACAGTGACCCGGGAACAAGAGGCTGACACCCCTCGTCTGCATGTCCAACAAGAGCCAACTTCCTGTAATCTACGTACAGTACTGCGAACCTGACCCAAAAAGGCGGGCACTCCTCGTCAGCACGAGCGAGGTAGCATTACAACTACCCCTGCTGTACGGTAATAGCCCCGTTTGTAAGTAGGAATCGTATGTAAGTTGGATGTATGTAACTCGGGGACTGCCTGTAATTGTGAACCTGCAACCTTGAAGCAGCTGTTTGGAGAAGGTCCTTATCTGTTCTATTATGACTGTGCCCCTGTGCACAGAGCCAGCTCCATAAAGACATGGTTTGATGAGGTTGGTGTGGGGGAACTTGAGTGGTCTACACAGAGCCCTGACCTCAACCCTAATGAGCATCTTTGGGATGAATTGGAACATGACAAAGAGAAGTCTATTCATACAACATCAATTCCTGAGCTCATAAATATTCTTTTGGCAGAATGAGCATGAATTCATAGAGACACAAAACACATTTTTTGGAAAGGCGTCCCAGAAGAGTAAAAGCTGTTACATCTACAAAGGGGGACAACTTCATATTAATTCCTGTGGTTTTGGAATGAGATGTCCAATATGGTCATATATATGTGATGGTCCACCAACATTTGGCCACACAGTCTACCCTTGTACTGAGCTTCTACGTGCCAGGTGAAGGCTGAAGCATAAAAAGCTTTTACTTTTGGATAGAGTGGGGAAATTGGAACCCCTTAGAGGTTAATTTTTCCATCAAGAGGCCTGGAGATCCGATTTCCCCTTGTCACAGTGACAGAAGTATGGTAATAAAAAGCTGATGGGAGTTATAGCCTATTGACCTACTCAACTAAAATGTGTTATCACTGCCTTTTTTGCTTTGTTTTGCACAAAACAGGAAGTGAGCAGATATCTCCCCAGTTGGGCCACAGTAAAAACTAAGGTCCTAGGCCTTCTGCACCTTTTTCTTAATTTTTTTTTTTTTTAGCTGGATATACTCTATATGCTAATACATAGGAGCGGGAGATACTTAAGGCTTATTGGAGTGGGAGGGCTTAAGCTAGCCATACACTGATATATTTTTCAACCTGCAGGCTGAACAAGAAAAATAGAGCAGAATCCTCCGTCAACACTTAGGAGTGTCTCGATTGAGGAATCCCGCTGTTTGCATTGTATTTTGACAGCGGCTGCCAGCAGAATGCCCGACCAGAGCCGGTAGCTCATTGACTGCTGGTTTTGATCGAACGAAGATCTTCTGACCGGCTCCTTCGATCAGCTGATCAAAAGATGCTGACCGAAAGTGTGCCAACAGCGACGCAAATTGTGAATTTCAGCCGGTTCCTCAAAAACCATCCAAAAAGTCTAGCAGTGTATGGACACACTTAGGTTAAGCATAATGAAAGTTACAGTTTTCACCATTAATCCAAGGAACATACAGGAGGCGGGGCAGTGGCACAGAGTGTTTAAAACTGTAAGCTGTAAAAGCGTTGTCACCTTCCTCGTCTTATGTTGCAAAGCAGGTAAGAGGGGATCACCAACATTTATGTATTGGTATTCAAATATTTTGGCAGGTAAAACATATTATATATGAGATTCCTTTTTCATTTTACGTCTCATCATTCTTTGCACATCTCCTTTAAATTAGGTTACCAGAGGGAAAGCACTGACTGCTGAAATGAGATTGATATAAAAATCATATTTGCTGTCTGCAAAACACATACGAGTGGTGTTGAAAAAGTTATCTACCTAGCCTGCAGACTGATACAAAAATCACATTTGGAGTCTGCAAAACACATATCAAGCAACCTAAACACATTATAAATTCTACAATTGGGAACGAGTTATGAAAACTATAGCAGAGAAGGAGGATCATGATGGGTTGCAATGGGCATTACCAGTGCTTTTAACCTTTGAGAATGTTTTTTATAAAGAAGCTCTGTTTTCATTCTCTGCTGTACCATTTGATATAAATGCAAGAATATATCTGTAAATGTATAATAATATATGTACATACCTGGCCAAAATTCTCTTCATCTATACAGAACCTGAGATCCAGCTCAGTTGGGTCATTTTCTAAGATCCATTTTAAAGAATTATAGTATTCACTATCCTGGGGGGTGAGAAGAGATTACATTAGTAATGCCTCCTAACAAAACAGAAGTACATTTAAAGATCACACAAAATGATATCAGCTGTAGCTGATGAACAAAACAACACCAGATGTATAGAGCATGGTAGTGGCAGAATTACGGTACTGGACATGGAGGTTTATACAGAGCCCTTGCTCATTGGAATCTTGCGGTTAATCAGGCTGCACAGACCTTCTGCTCATGGCCTTTAGAGTTTAATGAACCCCAAGAGTATCATACCCCCAGGGCATGCAGTAGTGTGCATCTTGAGAAAAATACATGGGGTGGAGGGGAGAAAAGCGTGTTCTAAAATATGCATTCTGCTGCTGATGGGTTCAATGAACCTACTCTAGCAGAGGGAAAGTTGCCTCAGCCGCATTCAGTGCAGCAAGAAGCAAGGTTGTATTAATTTGGTGCAAAAAAAAAAAAAAGGCACCAAACCCAATAAACATAGAAAAACAGAAGAGCATTAGTCATCTCCTTTCTGGCAGGATGTCTCTGACTATAAAGCCTGCCCTATGTAGGTTGGGGGATTGACTTATATGAATACATTTCAGCTTTAGTTGCTGAGCTCTGTAAACATGTGTTAAAAAGAAACAGGAAAACATGGAAAGGGAACAGCAATGAAACAGCTCCATCTGCGTACTATTGACATACACTCGTAAATATTTACCTGACAATATGCTTTTGAACATAGTTTGACCATAATGAATGAAGAAAATATATATATAAAACCACTCTAGTTTTCCCTTAAAGCCCAACTTCAACCTCCCCCACCTTCTGTCCTCAGATAGGTCAAGTGATCGGCATCATTAGGACCTGTGCAAACAGCACCAGACTGAAACGCTTCTGAGATAATTCAGAATTCATTGACAGGTGTATTTTACCTGCGGTTAGACTCATTTTCACTTGCTTCAAGAGGATTTTGCATTCCCATAGACTTGTATGGGAAGCCTGGGAGTGTTTAGTGTAGTTCTTATGAAGTCATGCTGAAGCAAATTCAGAAACTTACCACAGACTCCATGTCCTTCAGGGTAATCTGCTTCCCCAGCATCATTTTGTAGAAAGGCCGAATAAAAAAACCTGCAAGAAAGCAATAAACAATGTTCTACAATGTTCTACAATGTTGAACATCACTAACAAGACACTACTTTTGAGTTCAAGTACAAGCAGGAATAGAAAGCGACAGGAAATAAGATAGATACGAATAAAAGGACACACTGAGCTCTCTCCTCATAATGCACTGCAGCTTCCATTACAAGTAATGAGATCAACTAAGCACTGATTATGTGTTCCTGCTGTCCCTCCACATCACATTTCCCAGCAGTGCCACCAGGCACTGCTCTGCTTGCTCTCATATTGTATAATGAACTGTGCTGTGACCGCCATAAACTACTTCTAGAATCGGCTGTGCACATAGCACACTGGAATCATGGAGAACTTGACAGCGGCATGGCTCGGGGCTATTTCCATTTATATGAAGGAGCTGGTTTTAAGATAATGACATATTTGGAATTAAAGAATACTTTGTTTTGAAAAGTTTTAGCTCTTAATAGAACTAATTTTAGCTCTTAATAGAACTAAGCGAATCAAGCAAGTTTGCAAATATAACCTGTCATCATGTTCTAATCTCCTGCTGTTCCCCTAGGGCTGTACTGGATTTCTTAAAATGATTTTCCTGTCTGTCCTCTCAGTCCTAAATTGGCTGCCTCTTAAATCCACAGTTTACTCAGGGTGAGTAGAAATGGGTTTAACAGCAGCCAAGCAGTGCTTGCACCCAGGTCTGGCTGTAGAGCGCAGGTAGTTTTCAAAATTGGATGGATGTTGACACTTATCTATGGACTGAAAATGTGCAAAAAGTGGAGTTTTTCCATGCGGAATCCTGCCGATGACACAAAGCACTGATATCTACTGTATAACAGATTCTCCAGATGCTTGTGCATCCTCCTTCTGGATTGTAAACCAAACAGCTTACATGGTTGCTACCTTTGCTGCTTCACTACTGGCCCATCTCTGAATTGGGAGGTCTTACTAGCCAACAATAAAATGTAAGAGGCGAGATTGCCATCCCAGATCCAGCAATTGCAAACGCTGGTCCCTCTTTCTCTAACAGAGTGGCCCAGGTGCTGGAGAATACTCTGTTACTGTATATAAATAAACATTAAGAATAATACCACAAAAATCATTGTCATTTTACTGCTTACTATATGTCCCTTTTTGGCATTAAAAGCAGCCATATTTCCCTCTAAAATTAGGCTACTGGTCCTTAAAGAGAAGCTGGCAGATCTTATATGGTATGTCTAGTAAGTCACCAGTGCCGCTCCGGTACCAGTTGCTTGCAAGTACTTTTGCTATATCCTAAATCTTGCAGGGTGTCTCTGTGGAGTTTCCCCATCCTTGATACACAGTGAATACAGACTTTGAGATCTCAATCTTGCAGCTCTGCCGCTTCCTGGCATTAACAAACCAATAAAAGCACTGTTATTAGCCATTATGGCACCCTTATTGGTTAGTGCATAAAAGGAAGGAGAATTTGAGACATCCATTTAGTGTGCACCCTGTGATCAGGGAGCTCACTTACCATAAAATGAAATTTTTTGAAACATAACCAGGTTTAGCACTTAAACCAACTGTGCACAGAATGACAACCCAACACAATAATGCAGCAGCTGCAAAGTAGGCATCATAAGATATCTGCATTCACCTTTCCAGGCTCCTTCACTATCCAAACTGTCCAAACTGTCACCAGAATGCAAGTAAAAAGCTTGTACTCCCAGGTATAGAGCACACATGACCCCCCCCCCCCCACACACACAATTTAGCACTGTGCCTGAGCAGCCAAATCACCAGTCCCAAGTGCTATCACATGGGTGACGAAAAGCTTGCTTAGCCCTGTGACGGTTTTGACTTTAAAAAAAATAAAAAGCTTGCATTAGAACTTGGTGTCCCTTGGAATTCAGGATAGTGAAGTACAGGTTCCTTATGATGTCTACATAGTAGCGTCTGTATTAAATAGGTGAGTCGTAATTCAGAATATAGTCCGTTTTAATATTGCTAAAATGTATGCATATTGTGGTGAATGTAGAATGTATGATGAACTTCAATGAAATCGCCACACAGAGAAGTGAACGAACAGGTTGTATACTGGGCGACAACTTATGTCAAAGTCAGGAACAAGGTCCACCTTGTACTGGTGCTAAACCTCACCCCCATAATTTAATAATATAATGCCACAACCTCAGATTGTTGAATGGCAGTGGGCTATAGTTATTACCTCTCAAGGGAGATTATCTAAAGGTATAGCTAGAAAATCCTGACCGACGCCTTTGTCCACTGGGACCCAGTCTTGATTATAACTGGGCCTTTGGAGAAGTATAGTACTTACCATCTAGTAATTTCCCATGGAATACTGCAAGGCCGGCAATTCGCCCAATGAATGTGAAATACGAGAGGTGATCTTCATTGCAAAGACCAGAGTTGGGATTTATTTGGAGGGTGTAATTGTCCCTGTGACGAAGATAAAAAGGTTTACGTTTCACATGTAAACTGAATCAGCATTATTTAGCGGATCATATGACAATCCAGCCATTCATAGTATCACTGTAGCCGAATGCCTTTCAGTACATTTTCCCTGCATATGAGTAGGCAGGCAACTTAATATCAGTGTGGTTTTTAGCAGCAAAACAGGTACTTACACATCTTGTATTTTAAAAATACATTTAATGAATACAGAGATTCCTAAATGTGTGTATTTTGTACGTGCCTTACAGTTACCTTTATTTAATGGACCTAAATATAAGTCTCGTCCCCAACACAGTATCCCTTACCCTACAAAGCAGCAGGAAAAGTTATTAAGAACTTGCTCCATGATGACCTACTGGACAAAGTTTCGGTTTGAAAACATGGGAAGAGTGGCTCTGGCTGACCTATTACATGACCCCCCTGCACCTTAGTACCAGTGCTGTAGGCTGCCATAATCTTGGTTATCAACCAGCTAAACTAAGCAGCAGGCTGTGACATCATTTATGAGCACAAGCCATCCTGACTAGTCACTGGGGTCCTTGACAATCTGCAACCTGCAGCATTTCCAGCAACAAGCCGAAGGGCTCACGGCAATGTAGGCAAGCAGGCAGGAAAGGCTCAAATGTATATTCACATATCCCTAGTCTCAGAGCAATAATTAAACTGTAGTTCAGATTGAAGCTCCTCTTACATAGTTTAAGCAGAATCAATCCCAACATGATGTACCGCCACACATATATTAGAAAACCCTGACAGACATAAGGGGCAGAAATGGAAGCAGAAACTAGGTCAGAATGCACAGAATGTCACAGAAAATAAACTTACGTTGCGGAATACTCAAACAGTCCATAATACGGATTAAACATCTCTTTGGACAAAAGGAAGAACCACTCTCTGGCCACTCCACCGTAATCCAAGCCTTTCTCGGATTCAAACTCTATCCAGAGCCGTGCCTTCAGGACATCCGGCCTCTTCACCGACATGATCCGCCTGTACGATTCTTCAAAGATGCTATTTCTGTGAAGCTTCATTTCAAACCTGTTTGGTATGTCAGCCTGGGGAGGGAATGGCACTCTGTTACTTTGATGATACTTGAACATACTAGGGTCTGTTAATAGAGGTCTGCATGGAATAGCCACTTTTCACAGCTTTACTTTTTTTTAGTTCAATAAGTTTTTATTGAGGATTTCATACAAACAGACAGACACAAAGTATAGCATTCAAAGAATATAGCCACAGTACAACAGCAGTGAAAACGCATAAGAGCCTTGTAACAAACCATGCAATGGCAGAACCCCAAGGTATAAAGGCACACCTACTCTGTACAGCCAATACAGTTTGTGAATAATGCAATGGGTCAGTCCATCGGGGTGCCTCCAAAATTTTGCCCCCAAGATGGTAGCGTCCAGGATAGACAATACCAAGTCTGGGGCAAACCGGCTCGTACTATTAACTATATAGTATAAGAGAACAGGTGTAAGAAAGGCAAGGTACAAAGCCAGGTGTACGCGTCAGGAATCAGAGCAGCGTAGATGGGAAAGGAACAATAAGACAAGAAAGAAACACACAAAACCAGAGAAAATCAGGTAGGAAGACTCATGCAGAAAAGAAGAATGGAAGAAGAGCAGGGGAACATGTCGGGGTCGGGGAGAGAACAGAACACAGAAGTAGAACATTGAGGAAGAGACCCTAGAGCTGGAAACATAGGAGTGTGTGTGTGTGTGTGTGTGTGTGTGTGTGTGTCCCCCCCCCACTCCACAGCACCACATATAGTCAGAGAAATTGAGAGAATCTCAGTTGAGAACACATCTGAGGCCCGAAAATTGAGCCACACGGACCAAGCTTCACTTTTTTAAAATAGTCTCTCCCTTCCAGTTTATAAAAAGTTTAACCTATTGGATTATCTTGATGTTTCAATGCCTTTATTTGGCCCTTTACTAACACATTATACAACGCTAGAATAAAAAGGTTTGATTTTACATACACCTAATATACTAACAACTAAGCACACCCAAAACAATTAAGACAACTACTTCTATACTTCAAAAGGGAATCCAAAAATGAATTAGGACTTGTTCACATATCAGCGGTGTATAGTGGTCTACCACACCAATATGCTCAGCACTCTGAAGCATGGTATGCACCATTACCCCCAGCAGTATGGTTTAAGTATCCAAGTCTGAGAGCACTTTACATATTGGTAAGGATCCTTCTAGGACACCGTGCTATAACCGCAATTTGAAAACCAGAACACGTATCTAAATGATCTCCTCCACTATTGTAAGAACATTTGACAGGCAGTCATTGCTTACGACTTATGTTTTTCTAATCTACAACAGCCAACAATTATATTAATTGGTTTTAATATAATTAGCAGCCTTGATCATAACTGTAAATTGTTTTCTAATGACAACAAGCATTATCATTAATCAGCACTCCTTAATTAGCGGACATAAGTGAAAATCCCTTTATTATGATGATTTAGGTAGGTAAGTGCCTTTGTTGAAGGGAAAAACACATTAAGGAACAAGTTTACAATTACATGGGTCTGCTAATCCATGATACTGCATAAGAAGCTGCATTACAATGGGCACAATCCAGTCAAATAATGGGAGATTTTACATGGGTGCCAAAAGCTACAGAAGACCTCAAGCCCCACATAAAAGTTGTTAAAGGAGAACTATGAGATGAGTGATTTCCACTCACCTCATAGTTCTAGCCGACCTGTGACAATGAGACTGTCACAGGTCGGCTCAGTAGATCGGGAGGTGAGCGAACACATACCAGGTTCGCTTACCTCTCGATCCTGTCACGGCTCTCTGCCGTGACAGGGGGAGGGGCTGGATTCCCCTCTCCCCGCTCCGATCTGCCAGCGCTGACTGGCGGAACGGACGGGGGAGGGGGCGGGTACAGCTGGCTCTGCCTCTAGATAGGCAGAGCCAGCTGTCACTCACGCAGCTGGGCGGATCCCGGCACAATTGTCGGGATCCACTCCGGCTGCGGCGTCTCAGTATACCGCGAGCTGTAGCTCGCGGTATACTGAGCTTAGGGTAACGGGAGGACGCTAGTTTGTGTCCTCCTGTTACCCTAAGGAGAACTATGGGGAAAAACACTGACCCCATAGTTCTCCTTTAAGGACTCATTTTAAGCAATAAGTGCTGGAAGAATAATTTTTAAGGGTTAGGGGGGTGGGTTAGATGGTTCGTAGGGTGTCATCAACCAATCAGATATCCTAGCTGAGCTGATCTTCTGAGAACATTCATACAATGAAACAGCATTAGCAATATTTTCCTGATCCTAACGGCCTGTGTCCAAGGGCTTTGGGCTTGTGCAAACAGACAAATGCAGCTTGTTTTTTTACATCAGTCTGTGGTGCTTCTCTGATCATTCATTATACATTGCAGATGTATTGAACCTGTAGTTGGCAACCTTTTGACCTGCTTCAAGCTCCATTCTCATAGACTTGTATGAGGAGAGAAGCAGTTCTAAAGAAAATTGTAAGCCCTCATGGGCAAGGCCCTCCTTACCAACTTGTCTTGAATTGTATTGTGATTGTAATGTCTTCCTTATATTGTAAAGTGCTGCACAAGCGGTTGGTGCTATATAAATCCTGTATAATAATAATAATACTAATAAAGAGAACAAAAGCCCATTGACGCTGGTTCAGAAAAGAACATTAGCAGATAATAGCCTCCTGGGTACCATGGCATTTACATTCTTTAATTTTAGTGCACATGCCTTGTGAATTATGTCATGTAGTTAAAATACTTACAGGTTTCTTCAATTTTTTTCTGAAATAATCGTATTTCTGTTTAAATTCTCTAGAGTAAGGGACAGCCTAGAAGAGAAAGAGAAAATAATGATTAAATGAAAACCAAGTCACACTCAGTATGTGCCCTAAGTGGAGTGGAGGACTACTTAAAAAGTCAGCACATTTAAAAATCACAAGCCAGCTTTGGCTAGGTGCTAACATGCTGAATCATTCACTACATTTGTTTTGTTTTTGCTTGGAACTCCAAATAAACTAACATTCCGAAAAAGTAAGACACCTGAACACTGCCTGAAACAGCAGGGGAGCTGCCAGGAACAGGAGGCTAAGGGCACTGTATATCAGAAACCAGTGTCTATTTAAAACCAATATTAGACTTATTTGTATCAACATGTACTAAAACAAAAGTTTTTTTGCTAAATGTAGCTTCATTTTAAACAATTATGAAGAGCTGCTAAGGGTCACCTTATGTGACCTTGGGTCATATCACCTAGAAATAGAGCCCTACTTGTTAAGGCAACCTTATGTCTGTTCTAACACTTCTACTGACTCATCCTAATTCCTACATATAATTAGACTTAAATTATGAATTTAAGTTGGCTTTAAAAGGAACCTGTTATTATGATTTAAAGTGACACTAAACTCCGGAGTTGAATCTTAAAAAGGCATTCAAGTACCTTAACTATTAACAAAAATGTATCTTATTTGTTTATCAATCGGCTGTAGATCCCTGAATTGGTGCGGACACTGGCCTTCCATCTGGAGGGTGGCTACTTTTGTTCCCCATGGTCCCTGTGTGTGTTGTAAAGTAGCCCCAAGCTCACTCCCGTGATGGACTACAATCTCAATACAAATGAGTAAACTAAACATTAGGTTTTAGTCCATCACAGAAGATTGGACTGGTGGCTACTTTACAACACACACAGGGACCATGGGGAACACAAGTAGTCCCCCTCCAGAAGGAAGGACAGTGTCAGCACCAATTCAGAGATGATTTGAGGATCTACAGCCGAGTGATACACAAATAGTACATATCCAAACTCATTTTCTTTTTCACAAAACCACAACTTAACTTACTGGCCCAGTGATGGCTGGATTCTGTAGTCTGGGGTCCTCCCACTGGGTTATTTTAGTATCTGCAATTAAAACGTACATATTTGCATTACAGATAGTTTAACATTTAGGAAGCGCAGCAAATCAAAGATGGATGGATACGCTTCTTCCAGCACAATCCCAAAACGAGGTTTAGCACAAAACCGAGCCAGAAAAACTGCCAACTGTCAGCCAGTACTGTAATGCTGTTCACTACTCTACCAGTTGGTGGAGAAAGGCTAGAGGTATAAAAGACAGACTGCAATAAACAAGCAAGCAGAAAGAAATTGACCTTATTGCCATCATAAGGCTTGATCCAAAAAGAATAAAGATGGCTCGTGAGAAATTTTTGGCAATGTCATATTCCACATCATTTTAGAAAAAATAAAGAGGTTTGTGACTGATTTCTTCATAGCGATGTCAAATTTCAGATATTTTTTTAAATGTTGAAACCCAAAAACAAAATACATCAAATGTGCAGATACATTTCATTTATGCATATCTATAATATGTATTTGGATTATGCAGATATATAATATGCATACACATTATATATAGCACATTAAATATATCACAACTCTCACACGGAGCAGCCAAACAGTAGCAGCTTGCATACTTCTCCCCCTTCTCCTGCCACGGCCCTGTCCCATACTGCAGAAAGCCCATAACTGCTCAACAGTGAGTATTACAACGGGACACTTATAATTCTAGAAATCAGCGGAAGTTATAGAACAGGTACGTACTTATTAAGGTGTAGTTCAGTTTTGGTAAATGGAAATAAGGTGATGTAGATGATCCTTTCTGGTACAAAACAACCTGTAGGTCCACTGCTTATATCCCACGTCTGTTGTAATCTGCACTATACAGCCTGCAGTTGCAATCGGGTTTATGCAGCTATTCTGAACGAGGGATCCATTCAACTCTAGGGCTCCTCCAGAGGTTGCTAGGGGTTCCATGAGCAGTTGTAGACTGACCTCCAATCTAGTAGTGCTTGCATAGTTCAGGAGCCAATATCCCTTGGCATAGGTATTGGCATGCCACTAAAGTTCTTCTTAGCTGTCTGTAAGGGTGGCATTCTTCTCGCTGACCATCAATGAAATGAGTTACTTCTTCACTAATGAAAGGAAGTCTGCTTGTGTTTCTTTTCCTGTCATTATTATTACTTTTTGTTTATTTTTGTTATTTTTTACTGATAATTATTTTGTATTTATAACAATTATTTTAATTTAGTGCCATGAGTGTCTAATACTATAGGTACGGTATAGTCGTCAATCTTTGGTTACATTTTATTATATATTTATTGTTATATCTATACCACACTTAAGCGCGTGACGCACTGCATGCAAAGCGAAGCTGTCAGGCACAGAGCTTTGCATGCAGTATGTGAGCTGAGTGCACACAGGTGAATGACTGCCAGACAATCGGCCTGCGCATAACAACCGGATGGACTTCGCATCGTGGCGCGCAGGTTTCTACGCGCGAGCCGATTGGCTGAAGATGAAAATATTAATCTCAGCTATGCGAGCTCTTGCAAGCTGACTTGCTGGAGAGAAAATGACATGACACACTGCACGCGAAGGCAGCACGCTCTCAACAGACTATGCATTTTTAGCACATGACACCACTTGGGTCTGGCAATTGGCCATTCAGGAAACAATCACCACACTGTGAGAAGCAGGTAAGATGTTATATATTCCCCCATATCTGGAATCATTGCTTTTTTTCTAAGAAGTAGTGCTTTTCGAGAATTACTCCATGAATGTTATACATCCAAATAACCAGGGTCAGGATTTCCCACAAGGCCAACCAAGGCCTGGCCTTAGGGCAGCAGGGAGTAGAGGGGCAGCAGGGGTGTGGAATTCCTACCTCCCAATGCCCAGGACATGTATTTCCTGTTCCATTTAGCCCTACTTTGGGCAAGCCGAGCTAAATGTACAGTGGCAAAGCCGCAGCTTGTTTTGTACAAGTGATCTCAGCGATGTCGCCAAGAGGGGGCGGGGTAGGGGGGTGCATTGAGGAACCTGGCCTTGGGGCAGCAGAGAGAGTAAATCCGGCCCTGCATATAACACTTGCATATACTAAATGCATAGCACCAAGATAGAATTCTATCCACACTCATGGTATCGCTTGGCCCCCTCATGCCATCTACGTCTGTGCAAAACCTGACAGGGAAACTGTGTGTCCTCTGTGCTCTAATGCTGTAAATCATCATACTGATCCAATGCAACCCATTAAAAGAGAACTAAAGCTGAACCTTCTTTTGGCTTCCCGATTCTGCGCTGTCAGGAAATAGCAGGCAGTAGCCCGCTATATGCTGAGTTTGGGTCACAGGAGTTCATTAATAAATGTAACCCTGTGACCCACATTCAGCATATAGCATGCTACTGCCCGCTATTTTCTGACAGTGCAGAATCACACTGCAGCCAGGAAAGGTCCTGACAATATTAGGTATCCCCCCCATCGCCTAATTGACAGCTGGCTCTGCCTCTTTAGAGCCAGAGCCAGCTGTGCCCGCCCTCTCCCCTGCCTGCCCCTCCAATGAGCTCTGAAGGAACAGAAAAGGGAGGCGGGAATTCCTGCGGGGGCTGACGATCATTGCTCTCTGCAGGGAGGAGACTGTGAGCTGAGCGATCAAGCATTTTGTGATTGCTCAGCTCTTGAGCTATAGACACCTGCAGTGTTACATGGTGGCTCAAAGTATTAGGAAGAATACATTTTACTCTTCCAATACTTATCCATTAACTTTCAGTCCCAGTCCAAAACCAATAGCTAGGGTTTGCCACAACCTTATGCCAACAGAGAGTAGCTGACCTTTAAATTCACTATGGCTGCCTAAGCCAACAGCTGCATAAGTGAACCTGCAGCAACATAGTTGATTATTGTGCGTGATAAATGTTTTTTTTATTTGCAACAGAAATTTTTGTCTTTGGAGATTGTTTAACATTTTGCTAAACTTTTGTGTAAATTGATTCTGCTTGAACTGAAAAGGAGTGGGTAGACCCCGAAAAGCCTGTCCTAAAAATGTAGCTGTAGCAAAATGATCCTGGACAGTACTCAACTTTATAGGATAACTGCCTAAATGCACACTGCCTGTAATGTTAACTTTATTTTACATACACAAACAGGTAGTATTAGATCACTTAAACTGGTTACTCTACTGTGCATACACACAAAGTGTTACTTCAGGGTGTATAACGAAAACAGTCTGGAGGTGTATTAATGTGTAGAGACAACAAAAAAACCATGCCACAACCAGAAAATGAAGTCAGAATAGCAGTTTCACCGCCGAGGCCTTGCTACGCTATATTTCATTTGGGCTAAATCAAAGGAAGACTCCACCTTTTTGGCAAATCTGTTTTATTGGATTAAAGCAATCCAATCAGTAATTGTGCAATTATTCTTTATGACATATAATGTTCCTTGTATAGATTATCGAAGGTCCCCTGCTCATTGCTGATAGACTCTGGACACAATGGGATGTTGGGTTGATGCAAGCATTCTGTAGGCAGATATAAACAGATCTCCATGGCAACTAGATGCAATGAAAATTTCCTGCTAGGCAACTTAAAAGCAACATGACTGCTGACATACACCCTATATAGGATGATTAACATTATGACTATGGTCTTTGTTTGATTACCAGTGGGGTCAATATCTATAAAATGTCTGTATTTTAGAGAGTTTAGATGTCCTAAATAGGAACAGAGGATGGAGTTTTTGCAGAGCACCAATGTGGAAGGAGATGCTTGAAGTCTGTATCTTCAGAAACAATTGATGGAAGTGCCCTCCGCACACCTTTCAGCAGTCCCGGCCAACAATCAAATAAATGGTGCTCGAAGTAACTTCACGGATGGCACCGTGCAAAACACAAGATTGAAGAAATAGGTCCTTTTAATGGACAATGATGTCACAGAAATCCAACATGAGCCGACGTTTCGGGGCCACACAGGGTCCCTTCTTCAAGGCAAGAGATGTGACCATGTTGCCTTGAAGAAGGGACCCTGTGTGGCCCCGAAACGTCGGCTCATGTTGGATTTCTGTGACATCATTGTCCATTAAAAGGACTCATTCATTTTAACTTATGGAGTGCTGGTGACCTATTTCTTCAATCTTGTATCTTCAGAAAGGTAGGTATTTATTGGTCATAGAAACTTCAAAGGCACCATCAAAGTATTTCATGGCACTGCAATGACCACTTTTTTAGGATAGGTGTACACAATACAATAGGAAATACAGAGGTGGGTGCATCTATTGTAGTCACACAACAGTGAAGCTGCCAATGCCGTGCCAAGAAATGCATTGATGATGTCTTTTAAATGTTTTTAAGACCAATAATTACCAACCTTCATGAACATCGCAAGCATCTCCTTGCACACACATATGACTAACGCCACCTTCTGTTCCTTTTTGAAGTATATAAACTTGCCAAAATTCACAGTGGGATCCAGTTATCACACAGTAATGGAATAACCAGATCACCCTGACAAGCACTGAGTGTGATCTAATACTACACAGAGATCCCCTCACAGGTCTTCTGCAACCCCACGGATGTCAGTACATGCTTCTTACGTCTCATTGACCTAGCTCTATTTTCTACAACTGCACATAGTATACTATACTGAAATGGATTTCTCCCATGGTGTTTTATATTCTTTATCCTCTCTACTCTCAGCGTTTTCTTAAAAGTGACGCTAAAGGTGTTGCATCTTAAAAATACATTCAAGAACCTTAACTATTAACACAAATGTATCTTATTTGTGTATCACTCGGCTGTAGATCCTCAAATCATCTCTGAATTAGTGCTGACACTGTCCTCCCTTCTGGAGGGGGGCTACTTTTGTTCCCCATGGTCCCTGTGTGTGTTGTAATGTAGCCACCGCTACAAGCTAACTCCCATGATGGACTACAATCTCATTACAAATGAATAAACTAAACATGAGATTGTAGTCCAACACAGGGGTGAGCTTGGAGCGGTGGCTACTTTAGAACACAAACAGGGACCATGGGGAACAGAAGTAGCCGCCCTCCAGAAGGAAGGACAGTGTCATCACCTATTCAGAGATGATTTGAGGATCTACAGCCGAGTAATACACAAATAAGATACATTTTTGTTATAGTTAATTACTTGAATGTATTTTTCAGGTTTAAAGGAGAACTATGAGGTGAGTGCTTTTCACTCACTTCCTAGTTCTAGCCGACCTGTGACAATGAAACTGTCACAGGTCGGCTCAGTAGATCTGGAAGTGAGCGAACACATACCGGCGTTCGCTCACTTCTCGATCCTGTCACAGCTCTCTGCCGTGACAGGTGAGTGGCTGGATTCCCCCCTCCCCGCTCCGATCCTCCAGCGCTGACTGGCGGAACGGACGGGGGAGGGGGCTGGTACAGCTGGCTCTGCCTCTAGATAGGCAGAACCAGCTGTCACTCACGCAGCTGGGCGGATCCAGACATAATTGTCGGGATCCACTTCAGCTGCGGCGTCTCTGTATACCGCGAGCTGTAGCTTGCGGTATACTGAGCTTAGGGTGATGCGAGGACGCTAGTTTGTGTCCTCCCGTTACCCTAAGGAGAACTATGGGGAAAAGCCCTAACCCCATAGTTCTCCTTTAACTCGTGGTTAGTGTCACTTTGTGTATGCATCTTATCCACTTGTTTGTAAAATTTCCACAGAGTGCTCCAGTTTCCTACTACACTACCCTGGTAAAGCACATAGGACTATTTTGGCTTGCTACAAGTTAAAAAGTAAACCTGGAACAAACTGCAAACCCAAACTGAACCGATGAATAAAAGTGCATAAAGCAAAGCTACCTTCAGAGTAAAATGTCAAAATGATCAGAACATCCAGAGATAGAGGAATCTGACATTATGTACAAATATTAACTCACCCTGTAAAAATTGAGCTAAACCATGGGCGCCAAACAAACTTCTCTATTGGCCAGTTAGGCTACCTATCAAACCAAAGGACCAATAGGGAGGTTCAGGAGGTGATGGTACACGAAATGTTGTGTTTTGAACATCATTATAGCTATATCTCTGGATCTATAGATCATTCTGATATGCAGTTTTAACTGAAAGTAACAATTACTTATTTTATGCTAAACCAAAAAAAAAATTTGTAAAAAAAAAAAAACTCCAGTTAAAATTGTTCTATAGATCTAGCTGGAATCCTGGAGTTATATTCAAAACTCAACATTTGGATTGGGAAGCGGCTTTATTAAAATAAAAAAACACAAATTTATCAAAAAGGAGTGGAGTAATCCTTTAAAATAACGGGCGCATTGAATAAAAGAGTTTCTAAGGCGTAGTAACACACAACCAACCACGGATCAGCTGTTACACCACTTAAACATTTTTGTGAACGCAAACATCAAATTGGTTGGTTGGAGTTACAGCACCATATTGGGTATGCCAGATGGCTCCAACTATACGCGTCAGCCTTCCGATAACAAAAAGCTGCTGGACTTATTTTCCCTTTGCAATGGTGGATGTCAAGGCAGGGTCACTGAGGCATGTCATCTTGCAGTAAACATACAGTATCCACCAACACCGCATTAAAAAATAAAAAACACAAAATTTGTTAATTTCTTCACAATCCTTCAGACACAAATAGGGGGAAACCGCAAGCATTGTGGTGCAGAATGTACAGTACCGTAGGGGGGCAGGGACTGTGCATTTTCACGGTCTGTGCACATCAACACTTGAGTTCCTGAATAAAGAGTAAGATCACATGACTTTCATACCGCTGCTACCTGTCATCGCAGGTGAACACTAATAGGAGGGAGGGCACTTACTGTGGTCTATGTAGAACGTCCTGCCATCTAAGTGTATTCTCTCCTCCCAGCCAGGCTGCAAAACAATCAATCAGAACAATTCATTAGAGAGATGAAGAATGGAGAACCCTCTTGTCTTAACTCGCATTATACACAATATGCCACTGTCAAAAAGGAAACTTATAGCACACTGGGTTCATTATTAGGGATGCACCGATATATCGGCCGCTGAAACATATCGGACGAAAATTGCACTTTTGACAAAATGCCGAAAGTGCTATTTTCTGGCTGATACATCGGCGCATCCCTGCTTTTTTCCCACCTTGCTGGGCGCTGCTCTGTGTCCCAGCGGGGAGGAGAGAAACTGTCACAGCGGGCCGATCGCTGCGGGAGGAGAGCGCTGTGAGCGGCCGGCCTCTCTCCTCCCACACCGCTCAGCCTCCTGTCACAGATCAGAGGAAAGCAGTGTGGGCAGAGGCAGCCAGTGATGTCACAGGAGGCTGAGCGAGCAGAGCTCAGCCTCCTGTGACAGCGTGTCAGGATGGAGAGCGGTACAAACACTCAGTGATCAGTGTTTGTTAACAATTGAGGACAGAGTACATCACCTCCTGTTTATTCATAGATGTGGTTATAGTAAACATACTCTGTCCTCATGTTATGAATGAACAGGAACACTCAGTATAGAGGATTCCTGTTCATTGATAACAGGTGCTGCAGAAAAAGACTGGACTCTTATTTCAGGACACTGCCTCAATACTACTCGCAAGAGCCCTCAGCCCTGATGCAAGCAATGGGCTGGTCTTTGGGAGAAGTTATGCAAATATCAAAATGTTTTAATTGGTGGATGCCAGTCTAGAGGTGGGGGCGTTCTGATGCTAGTCACATTTGCAAACAGACCACTCTAGGTAATGCCGAGTTTCCTTGACTGAAAGAATTTAAATTCAATGCATAAAAGGGGTGGGCCAGGGACAGTCAGGCTGAAGAGGAAATGGCCAGATGAAGCTGGGCATCCTCCAGCCAGACAATGAGGTGGACTCTATCTGACTTACTGCAGTTTCTAATGTACATTGTGAAAAGCTGACACTGTGCAGTGAAATTAGAGTGAGTGATTTCAGTCCAGGAGAGGAGCCGGTACAACAGTGCAAGACTGAAGGGAAGGTCAGAGTTCAGCTTTAAAGCTGAACTGAAGGCAAACAGCTATATATAGATCTGAGGAAGCATTGGTGACCTAAACGTTTCCCTACCATAGTTAAGCAATACCACCTGGTCACCTCCCTGCCCCCAGCCTGTGATTGACAGCAGAAGCATAGTGATGAGTCCTTCCATCCCTCTGTTCATGACTGCAGATGAGGGGATAGCAAATACACACAAATCCTTCCGCATATCTTTTTGCTACATGAGAGGCTGATTGATCTGCAGTAGAAATGCACCTGATTCCGCAGCCCACACTCATACTCACTTGAAGAGGACCCAGGTCGTTTGGATTTAATGAAGCTTTTGTTCGCATATGAACTGGAAATTTCAACCTCGGGTCTTCCTATAAAATGATATGGACAGGCTAGTAACATATTTTTGTTACAAACATCCATAAAGAAAGCTTTTCTCTAGCATATTCTTTGATCTAAGGGTCCCCATACAAGTTACAATCTGACTGTACACAATCTTTGTACAATCTACTTTAGAGTTACCAAAACTATCTAACATGGGAACCTACCTAAACTATCCAACTCATCTGTATCCAATCAGGGAAGGCTCTTGCACTGAAAATAGTTGTTGGTAGATCTAAAAGATCACATTGTAACTGTGTGATGAATTTGAAGAAGATACTCACAAATTAACACTTTAACCAAAACCGTTGTTTTTTGTATAGAGCATGGAAGGGTAAGAAGCTCTGTAAGAATTGCATTGTGGTTTGTGAGATTTCCAAACACTTCCCGTCCCAGAGACATGGCAGGAAGTGAGTGGATATCTCCCCAAAGTGAGAGGAAACCTCTCTTGGAAAGCTGTCACCATTGGAGGATACCCCCTCTATTTCTGGACTTCTACTCACCATTAAAAAAAAAAACTTTGCAATAGAAACAACAAATAAATACCTATCAGATGTTCCAACCCCTCCCTAGTTTAGATAGGAATAAAAGTGGACTTTTACTATAAATCGGTTCATGTTAACCTCTCCTGCTGTTGAAAGATCATGTGGATCGGAAACAAGTCAGAAGTCAAGATTTGTATTCTTGTTTTAGATCAGTGACCCAAAGTATTCAAAGCAAGAGGGTAACCATGAAAGCCAGAAACCTGGTATTTATGGTCAGCAATGGGCGATTCCATTTCTATCTCATGCCTGGCTTCCTTTAAAATGACTCAAAACTCAGGAGTTAAATCTTAAAAATCCTCAAATCATCTCTGAATTGGTGCTGACACTGTCCTTCCTTCCGGAGGGGGGCTACTTTTGTTCCCCATGGTCCCTGTGTGTGTTGCAAAGTAGCCACCACTCCAAGCTCACTCCTGTGATGGACTACAATCATAATACAAATTGAACTAAACATGAAATTGTAGTCAATCCTGGGAGCAGTGACAGTTTTAGCACCAATTCAGAGATAATTTGAGGATCTACTGCTGAGTGATACACAAATAAGATACATTTTTGTTAATAGTTTAGAGTCACTTTAAGGAACCTGTTTTAAAGGAGAACTATGAGGCGAGTGAAAATCACTCAGCCTCATAGTTCTAGCCGACCTGTGACAATGAAACTGTAACAAGTCGGCTCAATAGATCGGGAAGTGAGCGAACACATACCTTCGCTCGCTCACTTCTGGATCCTGTGCCTGCAGAGAGCCGTGAATGTCACTCACGGCTCCCTGCAGGGATTCCCCCCTCCTCTGTCCGATCCTCCAGCGCTGACTGGCGGAACAGATGGGGGAGGGGGCGGGTACAGCTGGCTCTGTCTGCCAGCTTTCACTCACGCAGCTGGGTGGATCCAGACAGTAATGTCGGGATCCGTCCCGGCTGCGGCATCTCAGTATACCGCAAGCTGTAGCTCGCGGTATACTGAGCTTTGGGTGACGGGAGGACGCTAGTTTGTGTCTATGGGGAAAAGCCCTGACCCCATAGTTCTTCTTTAAAGGGCTGTTTAGATGCAAATAAGATGGTTTCCTGCATGACCACCCAGAGACGGTGTCTGCCAATGGAAGCCATGCTGCAGGCATCTCCATCCCCACCACTTCCTGCCATAAAGAGGAGAAGCCATATATAGCTCATCATTTTGAATGCTTACACAAGTGTGTGGGCCTAAACAATGAAAACGTATCCACAGAACTGTTGCAATTGCACAAATTCTGCATTGAGGTCACATCCAGTAAATAGTATTTTGCAGTGAAAATAGAAGGAGTCATTATTTGGGGTTGATGAGAAGCTGGCACAAGGTTTTTCTTATCCAACATCAGAATTTTAAGGTGGGCTATACACAGGGCAACACTAAAAAGCAACCCAGAAAGACATTTTAACATTGCCCTGTAGGGATTAATTAGAGAATGGTAACAATGCATATTTTAAAGTCTAAAAGGTTCATGATGTGATTTCCTGACAAGCTGCAAATCTCCGAGCGACCATTCCCAGAGTAAGCATAGCATCTGGTGAGTCTGGTAGAACTGCAGAAGGTTCATTGGTGGCTGAATTGTTCACCGTCCGTTGTTCAGAGACTGCCCAACCAATCTACAGTCTCCCTGACTGCGGCCAATATCGGGCAGGCCCCATTACGAATTCCCCTCCAGAGGTTTTATTAAAATGAGCCTGTTAGTGGTTAAGCTAAAGACTTTTTTTTTCAACAGTCAGCAACAAATTTTTCCATTTGGCCTATTTTAATCCTTCTGTGCGGAAACAGAATATGGAAATTTTATAACACGAAAGCTGAACAGTCAGCAAAGGAAGAAAAATGCACATCGTGTTAGAGTTACAATTATGTAAATAATACCCAAAAAAAGAAGCACAGAGCATGGAACAATCAAAAGAAAAACCAGAACTAAATTCTCTACCAATGGGAAAAAAAAAGATTTTATTCCAGTCAGTAGAGGGCACCATGTCATGCAAACCAGATGTCACAACTCGAATCCTATTGTAGCCTTTTTTTTAAAGACTCCTAAAACTCCAACACAATGTTAATGGTTTTCACTAGTGTGGGGAAGAGTTACAATATCTGAGTGGGGTTTCCTTCTGTCTGTGACCACTGGGAAGATTTTCTATAATTTCTTGTCTCTGTAACAACTCCACAAGAATTAGGGTACAGCTTTCACCAGGACAGAAAGGTACAGATGGCATTGAAAGCACCATCAGACATTCTAACCCTCTGAAACTCCACTAGGAATATGTTTCTGTCTTTGTTCCCAATTGGAGAGATTTGCCCTCACTTCCTGTTCGGGCAGGAAATGAGGGGGTACCTTTCCACTAGGAACATAGCAATAAAAACCTGAGAAATCCTCATCCTTCCTCACTCCAGCCACATTAAAATTCCAAAACAGGAATGGGAATGCATATGACTTTGAATCTCTACTTTTAAGCTGGTATACCATTGCATCCTTACCAGTTAGAGATAGCCAAGTGTGCTGTTATTTAGTTGTATTTTTTACCTGCCAGACAGTAATGTCAGTTGGGTCTAAGGCTGTGGTACCCTCGCAGAGGCTGACTTTTCTTCTGCCTGAGTTCAGAGCTGATAACTGGCACTTTGGGGTGCTGAGAGGTAAAACCTAATAAAGCCCTTAGTTTTCCTTCATATAGTCCTAACAGTATGTTGACGTATGACTTATGTCGGTTATCAGCACATAGCTCAGGCAAAGAGACAGGATGACCTTCTAACCTCACACTTAACCTGATACTTCTGCTCTGAAAGGAAGAGAATACAGCTAAATAGTAAAAAAAATAAAATCCCCACTTTTAAGTTGGTAAAACATTGTAGCCTTACCTCTCAGAGACAGCTGAGAGGTATTATTTAGTTGTATTTTCTACCTGCCACACATCTGCCCCAGGGTCAGCCTTTAAGGTCCCCACACTGACACTCCATTTGGGGTGCTGGACAGTAAAACTTAATAAAGCCTTTACTTTTCTTCCATAGAGTCCCAACAGCACCTTTGATTTAAGATTGATGTCGGTTATCAGCAATTAGCTTACACAAGAGAAATGGAAGACCTTCCACCCTAACACTCAGCCTGACACTCCAACTTCTCTTCCATTTGTAGGCTGAGGCCTACCTGGTATTTCCACAAAGTCTGATAAGAAGCAAAGTGTAAAACAAGCAGTTATACATTGAACAAGTCCGTATTTTGTGCCGATGACCTTACATATAGTACAGCGATGCTTACCCAAGTGGTAGTTTTGGTATTATGGTCAATAAAGAATGGCCTGGCATTTGGCGCTATTCTCATCTCCCAGCCTGGCGGCAAAAAGCTCTGCGCCCCTTTGTGTTGTGGTTTAGGAGAGTTATAAGGAGATGGTTGTGGAGACTGAGGGTTGGACAATGTATCCTTCACAGCCCGGCGCACGGGGAAGTCTTTAGCACCCTGCACGGTCAAACACAATGCAGACGTAACAGGTATTAATGTCAATTAGTACTGTGAGAGAGTCATGCAGAACACAAGCTGAACATCGACACAGATTCATTAAAATACAAGATGAGCCTCTCTAATCTGCACTACTAAAGTTTTCCCATGTATTAATTAGCTGCAGCTCAAGCTGTTACACATGCCAGCCTTTATTCCTAATGTATGTTTTTTTTTCTTTTTCGGTGCAACAAGCCCATTTTCCAGATTACTGCACTTGTTTAGGCTGTGACAATAATGCTTAATAACATGGAGCAAATACGGCAGTATGGTTTAAAGGGTAGGTCCATTAAAAAACATGGAAGTTTAAAATTACACTAAACTCAGGAATTAAACCTTAACAATGCATTCAAGTACCTTAACTATTAACAAAAATGTATCTTATTTGTGTATCACTCGGCTGTAGATCCTCAAATCATCTGTGAATTGGTGCTGACACTGTCCTTCCTTCTGGAGGGTGGCTACATTTGTTCTCCATGGTCCCTATGTGTGCTGTAAAGTAGCCACTGCTGCATTCTTGCTCCCATGATGGACTACAATCTCACGCTTAGTTCACTAATTTGTATTGAGATTGTAGTCCAACATAGGAGTGAGCTTGGAGCAGTGGCTACAACACACACAGGGACCATGGGGAACAAAAGTAGCCCCCCTCCAAAAAGGAAGGACAGTGCCAGTGATGCACAAATAAGGTTCAGTTTTGTTAATAGTTAAGATACTTGAATGCATTTTTAAGGTTTCACTCCTGAGTTCAGTGTCACTTTAAGTTTTGAATGGATGCAGACGCATTAAAGAAAACCTACCATGCAAGAGGCACGGGAGCTGCCGTGACCTCCTCCAAAAAAATGCTAGGAGCCTTTGTTAATTACTGAGTGGAACAAGCATGCCACAAGTCCTAACTTGCATACTTGTTGTAGGTCAGTTGCTCAGAATAACAGCATTGGCAGCACCCGTGTTTTTCCCACATAACAGGTTTTGTTTTAAGTGAACAGGTCATACCCATCAAACAAGTGAAAGTATCAAGTATCTGTGCCTATAAAGTGACTCTGTCCTTTATAATATAAAAAATCAAGGATATAATGATTCTTCATAAATACGTTTCCAAGTCTTTACACTACTGAAGAGCTACAGCCTTCCAGCAGAATCTTCAGCATCCAACACGTCCAAGATGGTTGGAAGCCTAGACAAACACCCCCCACCCCTGCTGTGTGCAGGACACAGTACTGATGTAGGGGCTGGCAGAAGGATCCACAGAGTGGGAGACCAGACAAACCTGATAGTGTGCTAGATGTAAAGATCCTGCTCAGAGGCTGTAGCTCTTCAACAGAACAAAGTGAGGGCTTGCTGCCTGCTGGAGTGAAAAGCATGAAAATCCTTCTTCTGAAGGGAGCACTTTTTTTTTTAAATTAAGAGTCACTTTAAAACATTTCCTTTGTGTCTGGGTAGAACCCCTAAATTCCAGACTTTAGACTCAGATCACAGTTTCCCTTCACTTTCTGTCCTAAAGGCACCAGTGAGAGGAAATTTCCCAAAGTGAGGGGAATTCCCCTTATACACAGTTGTCCCTGAAACAGGTGTCCCCATTGGAAAATCTGCCCCAAACTCTGGGGACAATTCTAACATTTTAGATTTACCATAATTTTTTTTTTTTAATGACTAGGTACATAAAGAGGGGTGAATCTACCCAAAGGGGACATGGACATCAATTAAAACTTCACAGAGGGTCTAACCCTTCCCAATCTAAGTCAAACAAAAAGTTTTGCCTAGAGATGCACTTTAAACCACATCCACTTCTAGATCTAAGGCTTGTTCCCTATCATTCCAAAAATCCCGTACCAGATACTCAGTGTTTAGTAAATTCTCTGGAATGACAGGGAGCAGATAGTTCTTGGAGGGAGTGAGGCTCAACCTCAACTACACATAGTGTTCCCGAAAATGAAATCTGGGCCTAGGATACAGGGTCCTTCCCAAGGCACAAAGGATATTTAAAGGAAAGTACAGGAACAGATACACATGCCAAAGTAGTTATCCATACCACCCAATCAGATTTCAGCTTGCATTCTCTAGATTGCACTTCCATAAAAGACAAAAATCTGAATCTGGTTGCAATGGACAACAATTCCTTCTTTCTTTGCTGCAGTTTATTTTTTTTTAAAAGCACCAAAGAGGAAAATAACATTAAATTGAGTAATTTTTTTTTTTTTAACTTGACTGAAAGTTGGAAAGCGTTCTATAACCGGTCCCCAAAATGCCAAGAGTGGTTAGTAAAAAGAGTCTCTCTTATGTCTGGAGAGGTCTTCTACATGTTATCAAAATCTCTCCATCCTAATATCAGAATAGTCCTGACAACTTACAAACATACGTACTGT